TTTCAATCCCTGTTGGCATCACTAGCAACTCTTTCATGAAGATAGTCTTAAAGAAAAATTGGTCTTCCGCAAAAAGAAAAAAACAAAAACAATTTGAGAACAAAAAAGATAAACAAATTGGCTAGAATGCTCCACAGCAAATTTCGGAATATCTACAACAGTGAAATGAAATAATAATAAAAGAACATAACTATACCAATATTGTGGTAAAAAGGGTTAATAAAACTAGAGCTACTTTTGTTTCCTGGATGATCCTCTAACAGAAGGCAATAAATAAATTTTGTTCCTCCTATTTCTTTTTTCCCATATCGTTGCACAGCGTGAAATTCACTCTTGGAATCGAACTTGCATATAATTTGTTGCGTTTCGCAAGTGAATTTCTGAAAGGGCTGAGCATTTTAAGCAAAACTGACATAGCCTATCTAGCAATATCAGTGAAACACAGCCTGTCGAAAGACAACTAAAATTGATTTTAATTTGTTCATCCGAACTATCAGTGAACACAGTGACCTAAAAAATAACTGACTGCAGAAAATGGTTCCCTTTGGGATATATTGAATATATATACAACATCCACAACTTTCTCACCTGTGATCAGAACAGCAACACTATCAACTTCTAACTTTAACTCCGCGTTGACTTCACAAACAATTCCTCAACGTCTTCAAAGAGCAATAATTCGTCTAAATGACATCAGAGAAAAAAGTTATTGCTATATGAGACAGATTATTGCATTTGACAACACAGTACAAGACAATGTTGCAGTATGTCTATGGAAGGGAAATAAACGACAATATAGAGGTGGAGCCATTGAAAAAAAAAATTGTATCTCTTGTACATTTGTCTCCCATTGCACGCCATGTAATTACCCTTGAATGTACTCTTACCCCAATCCTTGTTGAGCAAAGATTCAAATCCCAAACTACAATCTATTTAAGAAATAGATTCCATGTTGCCATGTGTCTGTTCAGTAACGGATCACAGATGACATCAAATTGTAGTAAGAAAAACAATCATGGCACACAAGGGGCAGCTGACTGTGTCACTGATTTTCATTAAATGATCAAATTAAAGTAACATGTGATAGTAATGTCATCTATGTGTCTGTCTTCCAGTGGATAATACCGGTAAATAAGAACCAATGAAAATTTGTGTAGGATTCAGCTTAACATACGAATTGATCTGCTAGTGTTTCTTAATGGTCAAGTATTAAGTTTCACTCCTGTCACTTCATCCATCCACTGCTCTTCAAATAATTTTTTGAAATTATGAAAGAGCGATGTGTACATGATTTTTGTCATAATAATTGTGATCAAGTGTAGGCAAAAGGAAAAGAGATTTCACATGCCCAAGGTTCTTAGCTTGAGGCTTGTCACTCAATCAGTCAAAGACCTGTTAAGTCAGCTAACTAGCCATTTAACCAGTTATGTAGTCTTGATGTTGTCACTCTATCATTAAGCCAGACAGCCAGACAGTCCAAAAGTCGGCCAACTGGTCACCCAGCTATCCCACCAACCAGTCAGTGTTTCTGTCACTCAGTCAGTCATTGAGTCAATCATCTGCCAGTTAAGTCAATAAGCAATCATTCACACAGACAGCTAGTCCACCAGTCAATGAGCTTGTTAGTTTAATCAGCCTTCCAGTCAGCCAGTCAATGTGTCCGTCACCCATTCCATCATATACACATCCCATCAGTCAACAACTTGATCAATTTTTCAGTTATTCCATCAGTCAATCAACCATCAAGTCATTCAGTGCATCAGTTACTAGGTCAGCAAGTTAGTTCAACAGTCAGTCACTTGATCAGTCAGTAACTCACTTATTCAGTCAGCAACTTAGTATTCAAGTCAGTTAAAAAAGTCATTCCATCCAGCAGCAAGTCACTTAGCCAGCCAATCAGTTCACTAGTTTTCAATGAGTCAGTAAGTCTATCACTCAATTAGTCAGTCAGACAATAAATCAGTTGATTGGCCAGTGAGTCAGTAAGTGAATTATTCTGGCAGCCAGTTCATTAACTAGTTGTTTGTTTGTTCAATCAGTCTGTCCATTATCCAGGTAGCCCCTCAATCAGTCGATCAATCAGTTAGTATATTAGTCAGTTAGTGACTCAGTCATTCAGTCAGTTTTAAAAATCAATACATCAGTCTTTCAGTCAATCAATAATCATCAGCTCAACATGGACTGTGAGTCAGATGTCTGCACCACAGTTGATCAGTCAGGCTCACCCAGTCTATTGGTCATTTAGAAAGTCAGTCAGTCATTCACTCATTCAACCAGAGCATCAGTTTGTCACCTGATCAGTTAATCCAAAAGTCAGTCAGTCCATCAGCAATCCAATCAATCAGTAAGTCATATAGTTAAGCAGTCAGTTGGTCAGAAAGTCGATCTCTTATTCCGTCACTCAGTCAGTCGATTACTCTGTAATTCATAAAATTAGTCAGTCACTTCCTCATTCAGCCAGCCAATCAGTGTGTCAGTTACTCAGTCAACTAGTTAGTCACTGTGTCAGCCAGTCAGTCCACAGCTTCCTATCATTAGTCTTTTAGTAAGTCACTCAGTCAGTCATCCAGTCATCCAAACAGACTACACCTTGGTCCATCATTACCTGCTCAGTCTGCTGGTCAGTGAAACAGTTAGTGGATCATTACATATAGCCAGCCTCTCAGTCCACTACAGTGTAGTTACCAGTGTAGGTTGGTTAATATATAATTTAATTGATCATTTAATTGATCACCACACCTTGTAATTAGTGAGTAAGTAAGCCATGTAGTCAGTTAACAAGCCAGTCTGTCAGTCAGTTGATAAGTTAAAAAGCCTGTACATCTCTCAGTCTCTCTGACTGTCCATTTGTCTGTCTGTCTGTCTGTATTCAGTCAGTTACTCAAAAGCCAGTCTATGTTAGTCAGTCAGTCAGTCAGTCCACCAATCTAGTCAGTCAGTCAGTCAGTCATCCAGCGACTCAGTCACAGTGTATGTCACTTGCAGAGTCACTCATTCATTTAGCCGCTCAGTGCACAAGTCAGTGAAACAGTTGGTGCATCATTAAGTCCTAGTTGCATGTAGCCAGCCTGTCAGTCCACTACAGTGTTGTAGTAGGGATTCCCATAGCAAGTAAATCTGCTTGTTTTATATCAAAGTTAAATCTATCTATAGCTCAAGCACTCCATAACAGTTTTCTTACCCTAACAAAGAAAGGACCAGCTTAAAATAAATGTCAATCAACTGTGTTGCACTGTTTGTAAACTGTACTCCTCATTCCACCTGAAAAAGAAACAGGATAATTTCCATTAGTTTTTTTTCCCATTGAGTAACAAACTGTCACAAGTTAAATTCATCGCATGCAAAATAATTCTCAAATGCATAAGAGAAACATGCATTTTAAATGCATGTCATTTTCACCACCTATACACATTTTGCCTGCAAAGTGAAAGTGTGAAACATGCACACAGGGTTCTCGCTAAGTCAAGGAGTAGATGGCCAGCTGCGTGGAGTAGACAGCTGACAATTCAAGAGCACCTTCCTGGGGTCAACGCTCATAGTCTCTCTCATATAAATCCTCCCCCATACAAATGCTCTCGAATGCTACTTTAAACACTTTTTTTAGAGATATCTGCAAAGCAAGACAGGGGTTGGTTGGCTAGGCAAACGTGAGTAGAGATGAAATGAGGGCTCAACCAGCAAGGAAATGTAAAAGCACAATTTGTTAAATGCGAAAACAAATTTAAATGAAGTTGTCTATTCATGAATTTTTTTTTTCATGAATTTGTTTCAATGTTAATTGTCTATTCATGAATTTGTTTCAATGTTAATTACAGTTTACAGTCATGTTGTTTTACATAGAAGTAAGCTGCTCAGAAATTAAAGTTAGTAGCTGATTTTTCAAGCCAGCAGCTGGCACTTAATGAGAACCCTGTGCAACATTTCCTTTGACCCTTACCCACCCTTACATCAGTTTGCATATTCTCCATACTGTTCTCTATAAATTGCCTTATGTGCTGACAAGGAGAAACTGTTTCACAATCAAGAGCTTCTTAAGTCAGTGATCATTTCCTTCGTTGCAGCCTTACAATGTAATGCATGATTCAGAATTGTTATCGCGAGGAGAAATTAGTTAATCAGATGCCAGTTACTCTTGTAGGTCAAAGAGTCAACAAAAAAAAAATGTAAATACAATCAGCAATAAAATAGTTGATGAACTGCTGTAGCAGATTTGGAATCAAGTTAAATCTGGCTTTTATGTCTGCTTATTGTGAGAAAAAAATAACTCCAGCCTACAGAATTTTGGTACACAACCTATATAATTTGCTTTAAATATGTCTGGATCCGCAATCCTATGCATCTTCATTTCAAGCAATTCATGTAAACTTCTCACCTGAATATAGAATGGTCAATCCTAGGATACATAGCTGAGGACATCAATCTACTTTGTGCCTGTTTGTACATTGTACTCTTTGTCTCACCTATCAAAGAAACTGTTTAATTCAAATAATATCATTAGGAGATTTTTCATTGAAAGGCAAAGCACTATGGGTGAAGTAATGGTATTTTGAGTTTTATTATGTTTGTAAAGTACTGCTTCTGTCTGCAATAGCATGGCATAATAATATGTTTATTGACAATTTGAACAAAAAGTGAAAAGAAGAAAAAAACTATCTCTTTCTAGTTTATCTCCTAAAAAAAGAATTAAAATATAAAATATACAGTATACATCTGTTTTAAAATACAAGAAGGTAACTTCATGTTCATGTAAAACACTTGTTCAAATTATCTGTCTCAGCAATTTCTTTTGGCAAATTATTGGCACATCTGTCAGAAATAATTTTTATAAGCTACATTACTTGTAAAAAAACAAGCAAATATTTGTTGAAAAATTATTTCATGAGGGAGTGTACAAGTCTCTTACTTTTTTGATTCACCAAGTGTGTGGACATTATTTATGGAGAGTTGCCTAAAAAAACATGATAACATCTGGTTAATGTTTTCATGCATGTGTCCCATGACCAAGAATGACATTTAGATCTGTTGAAAGATATTAAGCGTAATTTAATTTGTGGACTCCAGCTCTGGTTGATATCATTTCTACTGAATGAGCCAAATCATCAGTGAGAATAACATTGCATACCATGAAACAAAGTGATATGTCAGCTAAAACTAGTGGGCTCGACACTCAATTATCCATGATTTGAAGGTGATTGTCCTGAAGTTTTTGCTTCAAACAGGAAATCATATAGGGCAAAACCTTCTTTTGCCAATGACAGTGCAATTCATTTATTCATATACAATCAACATCACAATTGTTGAAACCTCACCATTCAAATTACAATATCATGGTAGGAATAACAAATTAATTTCAAGCATAACAACAAAATATTCAAATAAATACCAGTTATCATTACAAGGTGTAAGATATGATACATGAAAATTGTCTATCCACTAAAATTGTTCAGAGCTACAACTCCATTTAATGGAAATTGATCATTGCAAATGCATTAAATTATCCAATATCAATTAGTAAAGTTACCTTTTTGATATCAATTGCTATCAATCGATTGACGATGAATATCCTAGTAACTGATATTGAGTAACAGAAAATGTGCACTTTGTTTTCTACCAGAAATATTTCCTGTTCCTTGCACTAGCTTATCGAAATTATATGGTTAAAGTATATAACATAGAGTAACACCTATTTATTTTCAGCCAGTCTTCCCGCCACTTCTTGCATTCTGCGTTTCGCGACGCCGGTAGCTGAACTAGCCATGGCCATGATAATTATACTCCATTTTTTCATGTTCACCATGGTTAGCAGTTGTCAATCAACCACCGTTGCATGCTTTCTCGCTCCTCCAGCCTTTCTTCGTCTTCCTCTTCAACTAAATGAAGAAGGAGGAACAAAATTTAGGACAGTCAAATGCACTGTAAATTCTTTTAATTCTGAGCCTTACTGTTCTTAAAAGTTGACTGATTTTGTGGTCTGTAAGCATCCTGGAGTCTATACTCTGTTTTATGTTCTTGAGAGATGGGATTCAAACATACATTGAGAAGAAAGATAGGAAATTAAGGTTGGTCCAGACTTACCTCCTTTACTCTCTTTGGAACAGTCCTTATTCTGGAGAGATGGATTAAAAGAAAACTGTAACACACTTTTTTCCACAGCAGAATACAGAGTAGGAAGGTAAAAAATGGGACTATCAGGTTTCATAAATATGGTGGTGTCTTCGATTCAAATCTTATTTCGGGGTATGAAGGTTATCGGTCAACTTTTGTTACAAAAAGTTTTTAAGTTAAAGTACTCCGTGTTCTCTGCCATAAATTTTTCTATAAGATTTCACACCTTATCCTCCTGCTTAGGACATCACGTTTGTATACAGAAAGTAAAGCTAAGCATAACATTACAGACTTAATTTAACACTTAGGGACACGAACCTTTTCACCCTCTCCACTACCTAGTATTGGAGCTTCGTCCTCATGGACGGTGGCTGTCTTTGGGGTGCTAACTGCCGGTATAGGCATATTGTGCTCCGATTGTACTCTGGATTTTAAACAGATCAATAGGAAACAGTGATACACCTTATTTTAACAGTAAAATGCCCTTTGGAGATTAAGTTGTAGTGAGATGACAATGTTTGAAAATTGTTTGTGGGATTTTGTTATGAATCTGAGTAGGGATGACTAGTACATCAGATGACTGCCGTCAAAGAGAAGTTCCAGTCCCATGTTTATCTCTGCACTTGTTTTTCTGTAAAATTCAGAAAACTGTAAGGAAAAATGTCTGCTCTACGGATCAGAAAATACAATAGAATCAACCCACTAGGTTTCTGTTTAAGCCACATAAATTTATTATTTCAAACTTTTTTGTTGATGTAAAATGTGCTGCAAACTGACTAAACTTGAAAACAATTATCACGGGTTTTGTGAAGTCGGTTTTCCTAATGGACTTCAGGCTATTGTTATGCTAATTTCTTTGATTGCTTGGGTCAGTTCTTTGTCTATGATCCGTGTATAAGTTGAGGGTCATTTTTTGAGCTGATTTTTTGGTCATAAAGGGTCAACTTATACACGAATAGATACGGTATTAGTCATACACAATTTACCTTCTTGCAGCCTGATACTGACGCACAATAGCATATATCTCCTGTGAAAACAGGATCAAAGAATCATTTTAACACTAGCAACAAAATAAAGACAGTTACAAAGGAACTTTTCAGGTGCCCAGACCAATAATGACATAACTTAATGGATTCTATAGTCAAATATATAGTGAAAAGCAAAGTGTCACTTTACCTTTCTTCCTCGCAGCAGACTCAAGCATTAGAAATTAGCAATTTAATGCAAGGCACCAAATAAATCAGCAAACATTTCTGACAAGCCTCTACTTCAAGGACTGCTATTCCCTTACATTTTAGAGGTAACAGTTATTTAAAACGAACATTCCTGCACAAGTAGGACATTACCTGTGACATATCAGAAAAATCAGTTCCATTCTCATGGCCCTCAACTTTCTGTGGGCAGTCGTCACTCCCTTCCATTTCTGAGAGAGCACAAAGCAACTTTAAAATAGTTATTATTATGTGACTCGTAAGGCCCTACATTACTTTTTATTACCATAACTAAAAATAATTCCATGATGGCTGTACGCAGTAGCACGAACAAGTTCCTAAAAGGTTGTAATACCCAATATATGCCTCTGTCAAATACAAAACAAAAGAAGATGGAGAGAGAAACAGCAGTCATATGTCATAATGCTTATTGAATGGCTTAGGTCAAACCAGGTAAAAAAAAAATATTTGCCTCTCAGTCAAAAATGCATTCTTAGTTCTAGTACTGCATTGCCATCCAAGAAGTTGAAAAAGTAAGCTTAAGCACTCTTTTTCACAGAAGTTTGCATATATTATCAAACATTATTAGCCAGAACATCAGAAGCTGGCCATGCAGTAACTATCAAATAAATACAACAATTTAAAGTCATGGTGCATCATGAAATTATTATTTTAACCAAATTTAGGAGTATGATTGTTTATGGGTATAGCATATTTGAATCAATGTCAGTATCTGACAAGTTTGGATGAATGTTGGGTTAGGGGAGGGGTGAGTGCCCAGTTGCTCAAATACTAGTCAACACTTATCCACTTGTGTCTGCATGGGGGATTTTTGGTTTATGTGTACCTATTGACAACTGAACAATACCTATCTGATTTAATTTCCTTGCAGTAAAAAAAAACAAAACTACCTTTTCTCTCGTTGGTTTATTTTTTTTGGTTTGATTTTTTAAAAGTGAAATATTATTTCAAATATAGGACCATGGCCCTTCCTATGTATACAGCATCATAAATACACTATTGATAAACATGCAAACATGATAATGGCACTCCAATACCATTCTCAATATGATCAAACTGTTTCAAAAATGTTTATAATAAGTACTTAACTAGCAAAATCTTTGAATAAAATTGATGCCGATTTATGGGAAACTTACCATGATAATTTGCCAATTTAAGCTATGTACATAATAATTACAATCTGCTAGTGAAACTTGCCCTATTTTGTGCTTCAATGCTGACAAATATTCAAGTAAGGACAAAATGTAATAAAAATTGCATGTTTTGTGTTTTGCTTGTGCTTTTCTTGTGACAAATGGACAGTCAAATAAGAGCCCATATTGGATAAACAAAATTAATGCAGTTCTCTTTATTGACTGTATTTTCCGAAATTGGATGGGAACACTTTCAAAGGCTTTCTGTGGTACAAACACCAAAAAATTAACATTTTGAATCAATAAATCAATATTTTCAAACTCACCAGCAGTTACAATTTGTACGGCTCCACCCACGTGCACACAAACAGTACTTGTGTGCTGCTGTTCTTTAGCAGCTGAGCCATTTGTCTGAACATTATCCAAGCAAAGTCCACTGTAATACTGCGACATAGGAATGAAAAGAATTAAAAAGTTTGAGAAATCTTTAAGGTAACAATGGATTCGTCTTTCAAAAAGTAAGTACTCAATTAATGAAGGGAAATCTTAATTCCCTACACATTAATTAAACTGATGTAATTTGAATAGGTAAGGAAGAATAAAATAACATTCCATCAAAATAAAACTTTATCACACATTCTTCCTCGGCCAGTAACTCGCATTTGAGCATCAGTGTTTGACATTGGGGAGTAGCCAGGTTTGAATTTGTGCATTCAAGTCAAATGCAGTAGCAATATCCCGGAAGAGGTGAAAGCAGACAACGCCCAATGTCAGATACTGTCAACTTAAATCAAATTATCTTGTAGCAGTATATTTATTCACCAAATTTTTTAAAACTACCTTACTAGGCTCATTTCTGTACTACTGGCTACAAATGACTTTCAATTCTCAATTTTTGAGGTAAAGTCAAGGCAGTTTACCACTTAATACCATTAAAAATAAATAGCTAAAAAATCTAAAGCCCATACTTGTGGCTACAAAGCTACACGCATAATTTGGCTTTGTGGATAAGCAGGAATAATTGGCCTCCACATTTACAAAACTTTTCCTCATCATGTGGGTCTCAGATACTTGCAATATTTTCAATACCTTTTGTTCATCTTGTTCTTGCATTGAGAAATCTTCATTTGTTGTCGGCTGATGCCGACAGTGAACTATGAGACAACAACAGCACAAAGCTTAAAATACCTTGAGTTGACCAAAAAATTTATAGGAAACATAAATAAGTGGAGAAACACCTCCTTACAGATCAAATGGAGTAGATAGAGATTATTACAGAGAAAAAATGCACAAGTGATTTCTATTCACAAGTTGCGATGCATAAAACAAACCAACAAGTGGGCACAACAAACAAGACTTAAACCCACCCGCTTTCAACCAGTATCCAACATGTTTATTATTTGGCCTCGATGTTTTACACCATCATAAAGCTTGAAGTACCTGGAAGTTGATTTCTGTCAACTTGCGATCCTTGTTGTCTTGTTTCAGTGTTCACTTCACAATTGATATCACCAACTACACTTGTGGTAAGAGGAGCAACAACACCATCAGCAGGGCTGAAACCATTAACAACAAAACTGTGCTCTGTTTCATTCATTGTATCTCTGTCAGATTGAGGAATAATATCAGCTTTAAAATAGCTGTAGGTTTAATTGTCAAATATATTGTAGGTGTGCACCAATATATATAATGTAAACAAAAAAGGTCATCTCATTAAGCAAAATCAACCAAACGTTAATTAAATAACATGTATTTGCAAAATATGACATTAAAAATAATTCTCTTGGACAAAAATTTTGATTTAACAACCTTACAAGTCACTAAATTTATTTTTGGATTAAACTTCACTTTTAAGTGTTGACCATCTTTGGAAAATTAAGTGAAACAAAATTAGCATATGTAGATTTTCACCGAAAAGATACCCCTCTTTCTTAACAAGCAACTTACACGTTTGGAGCTCCATCAGGGACTCTTTCGTACGACCCATTTGCAGTTGCTGCATTGGAGTGCTTATGAAAACAAACAACAACTAATAAATAATACGTTTAGGTCAAACAGTACAGTACTTCTGTAAATATCGACTACGTTCAAATGTACTGAACATTGCTTCTCACCAATCTAACAACGCATGTCAACTCAAAACTCGCAGATCTAAAAGAATTATACATTTGGTTTTCAAAATTCCACATTTTCTAAGTCTCCTTGGATGTTTGTGTGTCCCAAGGAAAACTGTTTGAAGCATACAATTGGAAATTGTACGTGTACAATAACCAACAGCTCTTAGTGATGAACCTTCGTCGAGGAAAGAAGAATTGGTTAAGTTACGAAGAAAGTGGTAACTCAAAAAACTAGTAGGAAGTGAGCAGAGTTTAGGAGGCTAATGTTGAAGTAAAAGAATAAGATCACAGTGATTCACTATGCTTATTGTGGAGATAAAAAGACCACGAGGTTGTGATTTCTTGTTACCTTTGAAAACTCGAAGTGAACATTCTCGACTGGACCAGGACGTCCAGAAGGAGCTGTCCGAGTGGATGAGGTGGGCATATGATTTTCCTTTGAATCCTCCATTTCTGAAAAAGAGTATGTAAACTAAATTTTGACATCACATGAAATGCCATCAACGCGATAGTTCGTTGTCTTACTGTCATCGATCGAACACTCAGATCGTTTCGCGTTCATCATCATCATCATCATAGTTTATTTAATAAAGCAGGTTGAGGGATAGGCAAGACACTACGTCCTGATGTGGACCTGCATCAATTCAACTGTCAATTAATAAATACCTAATGAGTGAATAGACCGAAAATGGTATGTAAATAATGACAATTAAAAGAAATAAATATTAATAACAATACGGAGTAAATGTTAAAAGTATTTAAAGTCAACAGATTTGTAGGAAACGCTGCAGGAAGCTTTAGCAAAACAGATAGATTTCAGAATTCTCTTATTTTCCATTAGTTTTCTCTTGAAGGAAGTTAAGTTTGAACAGTTCTTCATGTCTTCGGGAAGGAGGTGGGCCAATAAAGTTCTGGCTAGAAATAATCAGGGCTTCACATTTCGATTCGTTGGCGATTAATCTGTTTGATTGACACCAGGTGCACAGCTGGTCTAGTACAGACTGGAGTGTTAAGATGATATCGTTGATGTTGTTTCCAATGTAAAAATAGTGGTATCATCGGCAAACATAAATAATTCACCACTAGTTATTGATTCTGGAAGATCGTTTACAAATATTGAAAATAATGTAATCGGTAAGCCACAAATGCAAATCGCCAGATATCCCAATTGCCTTTAGCTTCTCTAGAAGGATGGTATGGTTCACTGTGTCAAATGCTTTTCGAAAGTCAATAAAAAGCAGGCCCACTTTAAGGCCCTTGTCCAGCACATTTTTCCAGGTCTCTGTTAGGTGAAGTAAGAGGCTTTCAGTTGAATAATTTTTCGGAAAACCCCACTGTCTATGAGATAACAAGCCTTGTGTGTGCAAACGGTTGTTCAAGGTATCACTGACAACATCTTCTAAGATTTTCCCAGGAGGGAGATAGGTCTGTAGTTGTTCACTTCTGTTGGTGAGCCTTTCTTAAATAAGGGGTTAACGCGTGATAATTTCCAGCTTGAAGGGAAAGATGCATCACATATACTCTTCCTGAAGATTGGTAAAAGACTGTGGATAACAGGGTCACCAATCATGGAGAGGACCCTGGAGGATAATTGGTCTGTACCAGTAGCCTTGGGGTTAGCAGCTTTAGTCAGTTTGTTTTTTACCAGTTCCCAGCTCACGTCAGTTTTGTCCCTGGTAGGAGTGACCCTAGTGATAAAGGTGTTTATACATGACAAGTTCAAAGGGTCAAGTTACTTAGTGAGGTCTTTGCTGACATTCACAAAAAAAGTCATTAAAATACTCTGTCTTCTCTAAATCATGGGTTATTATCTCCTCGTTGTGATCACAGATTGGACCAATGTTTTTAACTTTGTGTTTCCTCAAGACTTGGTTGGTC